GCCATCGCTGTTTGAATGTGTGTGTGAAAGGGTGAATGTGTAAAAGCGCTTTGAATGGTTGGAAGACTAGAAAGGCTAGAAAGGTGTTATACAAGTACAGGTCCATTTACCATACAGCATCATATCATATAGAAATACAATCTGTCAAAGATCCAGTCTGTAATCTTCTGTATACTGTCTGTATCTTTGACAAATACAAACGTAACACCAACTTGGATAATACTATATTTTTGTGCATTTATTCCAGCAGTATTTTTCATGTGATGGACCCTATACATTTCATATCTCCACCGACCACTCAGACAAAAGAAATAACACACACCCTCCAGATGTTGGCAGCGTAACATGTTTTACATTTTGTCCAGACAGGAGGAAATCTGGGTGGAATTATGAGCCAAAAAATAAAAGAATAAAATAAAAAACAGACTTAGAAGAAAGCCCTGAGACTTCAAATCCAACTTCTGTAGGAGCCCTCACTGTCTGCAGACCTTTTCTGGATCTACTGTTCATTTATCTTTTGCACATCATCATCCTCTCTGTCTACTGTGCCTTTGTGTTTACTGTAGTTGGAACTTAAATGTGATGCACAGACACAAGGACATCACAGGCTCTGTCATGAGGTACAATCTAACATTTCTGCCTCTCTGTGTTTTGTCTTTTTAGATTTTGTTGGTCTGTTGAGTCACCAGATTTGTGACTCAAGTGAAGAAACTGTGTCTCCCAAACACAGTAAATAAGCTTTTAAGAAAGGATTGCGACTGACAACAGAAGACAAATGAATAATGTACGAACAGAATTTCAGGGTTGAGTCATCTGACTTGAGTCCATGCCTCTGTCATTCATTCAAGTTTGTGCTTCTGTTGTAGCTTGTAAACTACACAACCAACGAGGTCTTCAATCAAAGTCGTTATATCTGGATGTGCAGGGCTCTGCGGTCAAGTTAGCGATCCATCCATTCCACCGCCTCAACATGTGGACTGTCTTACTCTATACCTGACTTCATTGTCTCTGAAACCAAGTGAGCATGTTAGAAATCTAGGTGTTTTTAGGTAGGTGGATTTGGAAGTCAACGTCAACAGTTAAATCTTTGTACAATTTTTGGTGTAATTGTATATGGTACTTTTGTTGTTGAGGACTCCCTTGGATGGTACATCTTAAGGGGAACGTTTTCCAGTAAATCCATCTTGCTGAAAAACTGGTTCACATATTCATCTCCTCCAGGTTGTGCCAGTGGTCTTCAACCTGGGGGTTGGGAGATCATTTCCGGGGTTCATCAAATGCTTGTGGAGAGACAGGAAGCAGACAGGAAGCAGCTCCCAGTAATGTCATCCCTTTAATGACACTCAACAACAGAAGGGACAGTATTTGACAACTTGGGGGTGAGAACACGTTGACACTACTGGGACAAGTATGCGATTGTTGAATGTGTCTCTTCCAAGCCATGAGTGCCTCCATTCTTCTGGTTTCAGACTTTCCACTGATATTTAACCTACATACATATCCAAAAATAGTTGTGTTTACTGCTGTCAAAAGATACTATTCACCTCTATTTATACAACTAGTGCAGTGCCCGTAGGAAGTATGTATTGCTATAGAAAAGTGTGAGGTTAAGTAGCTTTTTCATGGATGGCCAAATGAGGTTGTGTTTGAAG